CTTCTTCACCTGAGAGTTTATCGCTGTTCACATCCTCATCGCAGTACTTTACATCGTGTTCTAACCCATTTGCTCGACAACTCGCCAGGGCATATGTGAATCGTGGGAATGCCAAGCAAAATTATGGATTCCAGTGTGTCCGCGTGCTCGTGTCGGAATCTTCTCCATATCGTGAGAATCTACGGTACTCCGTGCCCTCAGACATCCACACATCCATTGGTCGGACGTGACGAAAGGACCATGACCTGTTGAATTTGTCGTCGGAATGAAGTCAGCCGTCATACACGATGACGGGCAAACGATGCTCTCGTCGTGGCCCCCGAAGCGTCATCGTTCATCGTGGCGTGATCCCGTTACTATTCCCCTATGGACTGTATTCTTGCCTACTGGAGTTCTTTTTCTAGTCATATGCCTTATCTCTGGATTACATTATATTAGAATCACAAATCTCGAACTGAGGATGCGAGGGATCGAATTACGGTTTGAGGAAGGCGCTAAGGTGGGTGTAGTTCCGTTTTGATCATCATCATTTTAAAAAACAACAAATCTAATCTTTCGCAATCGCTTCTAAAGGTTTCAAAATAGCTCTGCATCTGGTGTTTACAAAAAAATTTCATCGTCTCGTTATGCAAAAAAATTTGCAGAATCAATCTTTCTGATTATGGAAATAGCACATACTTTTGCACATCATAATGGGTGTGTTGATGTAATGTGCTATATAAGAAACTGAAGCAGTGCAATTCAGCTTCAAAAAGGCGATCGCAATCCAAAAGCTTTTATTGAGTTTGAGATGCGGCGTATTCTAGAATATTTAACGAATCCGCTTCTACAGATCAGGACTCAGAGCACAAACGGTTTCCAAGCGCTAACTCAATTCTAAAAAATTATAAGTCTTATTTGCTTCAATAGTTTACCGGTGCAATAGAGATAGTCGTTGGCTATCTTGATGACCCTCTTGACTAGCCGATCACCTGCATAAATTTGCATAATGCTTAGCCGATGTTTGCTTAAGGACGAGCACCTGCTAAGAGCCAGT